TATATATATATAAATTAAATAATAGTTCATTTTACTTATCTTGAATTTAAGCTTTTAGGCAAAAGTCTCGGTGTTTCCTTCCCCCATTTTCTAATTGACTGACCACCCCTAACCTGTCCCCAGTGCTACCCTCCACTCCGCTTCGTCTTGTACTTAGGTCTGAGGCAGAGTAGCTACAGATGAGGAAGCACCAGGGACTTTCTCACAGCTTTCAGAGTCTTCATGGGTGCAAACTATTAGCCCTTTCTCCCACAGAGCTGCTGGGTTGGTTGGCTAACAAGATGGGGAAGATTGCCCAACATAACACTGAAGAAAGACTTGACTCCAATAGAAGGTACAAGCTCAAAAGCTTCCCAGGGTCAGGCAGGAAATAAATAAACAAGAGAAGAATTCAGTCAGATTGCTGCTTAATGATTTTCAGGATAAAATTGGGGAATGGCCATGGCCAGAGAAGCTAGAGAGAAGATTCTCAAAACTTTGACCGTTACTATAACCAGATCTCCCTTAGAAGAGGTAACCTGGTTATTCTGCTGAGAGAATGACAGCCTTCCTTGACATAAATGGATACTGAACAGTTTTTTAAGATAAATGTTCAAAAAAGCCATAATTCTGTAATAGTTTTTACTTCTACTCATGTTGTAGTTTTTTGTGCCATTGAGTCAGTTCCAACTTATAGTGACCCCTGTGTAAGTTTCCCGAGGCTGTACATCTTAATGGGAGCAGAATGTGTCATCTTTCTCCTTTTTATTTATGAATTATTGTTGTTTATTTATGAATTATTGTTGTTAAGCGCCGTTTAGTTGATTCTGACTCATCATGACTCTGTACAGTATTTCCAAGGAGCAGTTGGTGGGTTTGAACCACCAACCTTGTGTTTCACAGTCCAGTACTTATCATCCAGACATCAGGAGTCCATATATACTAATAGTTAAAAATTGAAAGTATAATTGTCATTATGTAGTATTTTTTTGCTGTTGTTATTAGGTACTGTTGAGTCGGTTTCAACTCATAGCAACCCCATATGACAGAGTAGAAGTGCCCTATAGGGTTTTCTTGGCTGGTATGGCACTGTAGGATCCACACTGGACTGCTAATCACAAAGTTGGTGGTTCAAACCCACCAGCTGCTCCTTAGAAACCCTGTACATGGCCACTGTGAGGCAGAACTGAATTGGTGGGACTTAGCAGCAACAGTGTTTGTAGAATCAGATTATCAGGTCTTTCTCCCTTCCACAGAACTGCTGGGTGGGTTCAATCTGCCAAACCTTTGGGCTAGCAGCCAAATGCTTAGCCATTTGTGCCATATCTGTCATATGGGGTCACTGTGAGTCAAAAAAGGACTCCATGGTGCACAACAACAAAATGTTAGTATGTTTTACACAGTAGGAAGGACTCCGGGTGATGCTATAGGATCAGCTCTGGGCTACGAACCACAACATCAGCAGTTCAAACCCACCAATTACTCCTCGGGAACCCTACACAGGGTCACTATGAGTCAGAACTGACTTAATGACAGTTAACATCAACAACATAGTAGGAAAAGAGATTCTGCAATTTGGTTATTGGGCCACTAGGTGGCACGGGGCCTTACTATTTCCTTAATTAGTTTTATTTGCCTCTTATAGATTAGATGACTTCTTTCAACACATTAAAAAAAAAAAAAGCATAATAGTTGAGATATTAAACACTATTATAACAAAATATTTAAGTTTTCAAATTAGATATTTTTTCACGTATCTTGATCGGTTATTTTTATTTTGTTATTTTTTTTTAACTTTTTATGAATTCAATGAAGGTTTACAGAACAGAGCAGCAGTTTCATATTTGGAAATTGACCCACATTTTGATTTATCTCATTGATTGCATTCCCCTCAATGTATCATCACTTATCCCTCTGCCTGTCTGTTTTCTTTTCTTCAGTCCTCCTCCTCCTCTCTTAACCCTTCTGAAGTTTGTCCTTTGGTAAATACTGCCCTTTTGATCTCAAATCATTGATCATTATTCTAAGGTGTGTATACCTCACTAGTATTATTATTCCTCTTATAGATCGATCCATTGTTTGGCTGAAAATTGAGTCACAGGGGTGAGTTCAGTTCCAGACCTGAAGAGTGCCTCAGGGCCATATTTTTGGGGTTCCACCATTCTCTTTCCAACCAGTAAGGCTGATCTATTTTAGGATTTTGAGTTTTGTTTCATATTTTTTCCCATTCTATCTAGGACCATCCAAGATGATCTTGATCATTTATTTAAATATAAAGCAGTGTAATTTCATTATAACCATCTGAACTTTAAATTCATACTAAGACCCTCGGGAATTTGTCCTCAGTTTTGAGAATTATTTTTGTCACTGATGATTTCTTCATAGCTTATTTCTAAGCTACCCCTGTGTACCCTCTTTGTGAATTAAAGTTCTCCGTAAATATTATCTTAACTCTACTTATGTAAGGAAACGTTACAAAGAGGAGAAAGATAATGTTTAAAGATACTTTCTAGTAACCCTGCCTGGTATTTCCTAGAAAGAGGGGAAATTTCCTGATTACTTTTAGCGCTTGATGGATAACTGAAAAGTCTGTGTAAATGAAAGTTTCGGCAATCTACTTCCCTGAAGAGTCCAGTCCTGGAAACTCTGTGGTGCGGTTCTACTCTGCCCAATGTGGCCACTGGGAGTCAGAGTCAACTAGATGACAGTGGATTTTTTGTTTGTTTGTTTTCTGTTACGTTTAGAGTTTCTTTTTTACTTTGATACTAGTTTTTTCTCCAGCTAGTTGCTGGTCAATAACACATAATACAAGAACTTACATTTTAATGATTTTCTTAAAACCTTCCTCTATCTAGCAGCTCACTTCATTAAAATCAGTGTCAATTTTTAAAGAGTTCAGATTCTTTTCAAATTCTGATACGATGCTGGTGAAAATTTTCTTCTTCATTTCGTGTCATTTGCCATCTTTAAAAAATTCTTACTAGTTAGGAAAAAGAAACTTAGTTGGCACTTTAAGAAGGAATTTCTTTTTAAACTTTTTATTATAAATTGAGTGAGGGGTTATAGAGTAGATCATCAGTTTTACATTCCACAGTTGTGTATATTTTGTTTCATATCTTTGATTACAAAAATCAAATCTACTTCTTCCTTGCTTCCTGTTTTCATTTCTCCTTAAGAAGGAAAATATTTCCCTAACGCAAGTTTATATTTAGTGCAAGGAAGTTTTAAATAATGATAATGGGAAAGTAAACAGTGAGAGAAAAATCTAAAGGAAACCCTATTTACTTTAGAGAAACACAAGTTAATTCTGTTTCAGATACTTCAGGATCTTTGAAGCAAGCAAAAGTATAGTAAGTAGCATTTTGGAGTAACTGTGGTACATGTAGTAATTTTATTATAGATAGAAGGTATATACAAGATAGAATTTTTAAAGTTAATCAAGGGTTGACTCTTAAAGTTAGTGTTGCAGAAATGTTTGTCTATACAATATACATATAGAAACTTAAATGTTTCTGAATTGATATCTTTCCAGAATCTTGGAATTGCTAATACCATTTACAAACCGGACCTGTGACACTAAGCAAGGCAAAGTGAGCCCTGTTTACTCAGCAGTGTTTGGAAGGCGTGAAGATTGCCTAGAAATACTCCTCCAGAATGGCTATAGCCCAGATGCCCAGATGTGTCTAATCTTTGGCTTCAATTCTCCCATGTGTATGGCTTTCCAAAAAGAGTATGTACATTTCCTGTATTTTTATTCCTTTTGTGCTGTATGGAGATGAGAGTCCCTGCTTGGCATGAATCGTTAATTGTTTGTCTACTCAGAAGTGTTTTGGCCGACAGGTCTGGTGATCTACTTTTGAAAGGTGACAGACAGTCCTGAAAATTTGAGGCAGTTCTACTCTGCACACATAGGGTCGCTATGATTGCAATTGATTCTGTGACAGCTATGAGTCGAAACTGACTCCACGGCATGGAACCACCACCACCACCACCACCAAACTATGAAAGGGTGTCCTTGTGTGGCGCTGTAGGATAAGCACTGGACTGCTGATCTCAAAGTCATTTCCAACCCACCAGCTGCTCCTTGGAAACCCTATGCAGCATCACTGTGAATTGAAACTGACTGACCCAATAGCACTTTAACAGTAAAACAAGCTCTGAGAGAATGAATTTATTGGTCAGAACTATCTACTGTGTTATTTGTGATAGAGAGGCACTAGATAACTAAAACAGATGGCTAAAATTTTACAATAAAGGAGGAATAAAGCTGTTTCTAGAGAAGGCTTATTGAGTGATATTTATGGTTTCTTCAATAATGGAATAAATTGTACAGATAGATCCTACTGTTTTTAATGATGCAAAAGAGGTTGCAGACTTGCCTCAAATTTCATTGCATTCCTGGAATTGAAATCTCTATGAAAACTTATTTACTAGGCTTTTCGATCTTTACTATCGCTTAGGTAATCAGATAGAAAACGTAAACGTTTGCTATATTAAATAATAGTTCGTTTTATTTATCTTGAATTTAAGCTTTCAGGTATCTTACTTGGAGAATTTGGGGATTTGGTTAATAAGAATAGCTTACCCTATTCAGGGAGTCCTGGTGTGACGCCATGGGCTAATACATCAGACTGCAATGTCGTTTGAACTGCAAGGTCGGTGGTTCAAGCTCACCAGCTGCTCCTTGGAAACCCTATACAGAGTTGCTGTGGGTTGGAATCGACTCGACGGCACTTAACAACAACAACAATAACAACAACCCTTTGCAGAGCTCTGGTGTGACACTGGGTTAATGTGCTAGACTCCAAAGTCGGTTTGAACTGCAGGGTCGGTGGTTCAGGTTCACTAGGTGCTCCTCAGAAACCCTATACAGGGTCGCTGTGGGTCAGAGCTGACCAACAATACTGTATGCACGTTTCATGATATTATAGAACTTCATTGACCACCCCATCAAATTTGAACTTTCTAACTGGAGGAACACTAATTACTTTCAGTTTACCTTCAGTAAGACTGCGTTGATAACTTTTAGGTTGTCTTTTTTTAGTACCGTATCTAACTTTGCTATGTATATCCATACATAAAATATATATATGTAAAACACTACTCGTCTGTCAGTGTGTCATACTGTAGTGGCTTGTATGTTGCTGTGATGCTGGAAGCTGTGCCATCAGTATTTTAAATACTGTTAGGGTCACCCATGGTGGACAAGTTACAGTGGAGCTTCCAGACTAAGACAGGCTAGGAAGAAGGAGAGGCAAACTACTTTTGAATGTTTAGCCAATGAAAACCATATGAATAGCAGTGGAACATAGATATAGTGCCAAAATATGATGACATTATAAGAAGCATCAGAGTGTTGGCAGGTATATTGGAAGGCCCTCAACATACGACTATTGAAGAACTGCCTCCTCAATGTAGAGATGACTGTGATAACAATCCATTGGTAAAGCTTTCATGACCTTCATTTGCTGATGGAGGGCACCTCAAAATGAGAAATATTTGCAAATATCCATTAATAATCTGTATGAATCTAGGAAAGTTGGGAATTGCCAAAAATGAAATAGACTGCATGCAAATCCTAGGCATTATTGTTATTGTTAAGTGCCGTTGAGTCAGTTCCAATTCATAGGGACCCTGTATAGGGTTCCCAAGGAGCAGCTGGTGAGTTTGAACTGCCAACCCTGTGGTACATAGTCCAGTGCTGATCTACAGTGCCACACCAGAAGTCCTCCTAGGCTTAATGAGCTGAAATGAACTGGTATTGGCCATTTTGAATCTTACAGTCACATGATTTACTATGCTGGGAACAACAAATTCAAGAGGAATGGTGTTGCATTCATCATGAAAAAGAACATTTTCAAGATTTATCTTGAAGTACAGTGATTATCTTGATAGGATAATATCCATATGCCTACAATGAAGACCAGTTAATGCCAACCACTAAAGCCAGTAATATGAAACTGAAGAATTCTCCCAACTTCAGTCTGAAATTGATCAAACTTGCAGTCAAGATGTACTGATAATTACTGGCAATTGGAATGCAAAGGTTGGAAACGAAGAGGAAGGGTCAGTAGTTGGAAAATAATGGCCATGGTGATAGAAATTAATTTGGAGATTGTGTGATAAACTTTTGCAAGATCAAAGACTTACACATTGCAAATACCTTTTTTAAACAACCTAAAAGACAACTATACCTGTGGGCCTCACCAGATGGGATTATACAGGAATCAAATTGACTACATCTGTGGGAGGTGACAGTGGAAAAGCTCATCAACCAAAATAAGGCCAAAGGCTGAATGTGGAACAGAACATCAATGGCAAGTTCAGGATGAAGCTAAAGAAAATGAAAACAAGTCCACAAGAGCCAAAATATGACCTCGAACATATGCCACCTTAACTTACAGACTATCTCAAGAACAGGTTTGATGCATTAGACTCTAATGACCGAAGACCAGAAGAGCTGTGGATGACATCAAGAACAACATACAGGAAAAAAGCAAAAGGTTGCTGAAAAGACAGGAAAGAATAGAGCAAAATGGATGTCTAAAGAGACTCTGAACAAGTTTCAGAATGTCTTCTAATATATCTATATTTATCTGTGAATTGCTTTGGATAGTGTTCAAATTTCATAATGTTGTGGCTTCCTATCCAGGAGCTTGGTATGCTCTTCCATTTTGTAAGACTGTTGGTTTCTTGTAGTAGTGAATTGTAGTTTTCTTCGTAAAGGTCTTTTCTTTCTTTGGTTAGATTTATTCCTAAATATTTTATCTTTTGGGTGGTTATTGTAAATGGCCCACCAGTTGCATGTCATTTTGTCATACAGTGTTGGCTTGCATGTTGGTGTGATACTGGAAGCTAAGCCACCAATATTTTAAATATCAGCAGGGTTACCCATGGTGGACAGGTTTCAGGTGAGCGACTAGACTAAAACAGACTAGGAAGAAGGAAAGACAGACTGCTTCTGAATGTTTAGCCACTGAAATCCTTATGAATAACAATGGAACATTGTTTATCTTGAAGTACAATGCTGTTTGTTATAGGATGATATTGATACACCTACAAGAAAGACCAGTTAATACCACTGTTGTTCAGATTGTCGCACCAACCACTAAAGCCACTCATAGTGAAATTGAAGAATTTTACCAACTTACAGGGTCACTACAAGTCAGAACTTACTCCACGGCACATAACCACCACCACCACCATACAATCTAAACTAGATCAAACCATGCAATCAAGATGTATTGATAAGTACTGGTGGATTGGATTGCAAAGATTGGGAACAAAGAGGAAGGTCAACAGTTGGGAAACTTAGCCTTGATGCTGGATATTGCATGATAGAATTTTGCAAGACCGACTTATTCATTGCAAATACCTATTTAAACATTTGGGCCTCACCAGATGGAATAAACAGGAATCAAACTGACTACATTTGTGGGCGTAGACAGCCACACAGCTCAATATCATCAGCCACATAAGGCCAGGTGCATACTGTGGTACAGACCATCAATTGCTCATATTCAGGTTCAGACTGAAGTTGAAGAAAATTAAAATGCAATAATATGTTGGTAGGGTACTGCCAGAATAAAGCTGGAATCAGAAGAAGATGCGAAACTGGGATATCACTGTCAGATGGATCTTGGCTGAAAGCAGAGAATATCAGAAAGATGTTTACTTGTGCTTTAGTGATTATGCAAGGACTTTCAACTGTGTGTATCATGACAAGCTATGGATAACACTGCAAAGAACGGTTGTTCCAGAACATTTGTTATGCTTATGTGGAACCTGTATATAGACAAAGAGACAGTTGTTCAAACAGAACAAGGAGATACTGAATGCTTTAAAATCAGGTGTGTGCCCCGGTTGTATTCTTTCACTATACTTATTACATCTGTTTGCTAATTATATTTTTATGAAGAAAAGTGTGGTATCAAGATTGGATGAAGCTATGTGGATAGCACTCATGTGGTACAATAGTGAATAATTGCAATCAGGACTGACTGTGAGGGTTGGAAATGTAAAGGTAAATGTTTTGTAGCAAAAGGAGGGGAGTGGTTGACTTTGCAGTCCAAGAGCAGAGGTCCCTGGGACCATCAAGGGAGAAGAGCAGAGTGCGAGACCCTACTCAGAGAAACAGTGAAACCAGGGCTAGAGGCAGAGACGATGACATAGAGAGATGGAGTGGCTGGAAACTCTAGACCCAGAGAGGGAGAGGGGCTATATGTTGACGACCAGGGGCCAGGCTTGCAGGGTATACCATTTGGCTAGTTGATGATTCATGGAGGGGATTGTAACCATGGCAGTGTAACGACATACGATAGGATGAATGTAAAGCTAACATTCTCCCATGTAAATTATTACGTAATTCTCAATAACGCATTTAAAAAAAAAAAAAAAGATTTGATGAAGCGTCATTAACAACCTGTGATATGCGACTAATACAACCTTGCTTGCTGAAAGCAAAGAGAATTTAAAATACTTACTGATGAAGATCAAAGACTACAGCCTTAAATATGAATTATACCTCAATGTAAAGATAACAAAAATCCTCACCACTGGACCAATAAATAGCATTATTATAAATGGAGAAAAGATTGACGTTGTCTAAGACTATATTTTGCTTGGATTCACAATCAGCACTCATGGAAATAGCAGTCAGAAAATCAAACGACATATTGAATTAGGTAAATGTGCTGTACGAGACCTCTTTAAAGTGTTCAACAGCAAAGA